ACACACACACACACACACACACACACACACACACACACACACACACACAATTTAAAGCACAAAGCTTTCTCTAGAAGACAAAAGACGGATACAAGAAAGCTGTCTTCCAAGGCCTGAGGGCTATGCCAAAGCAGACAGATTCACGTTATCTCTGTGGCCACAAGAGGTAAACGCAGCGCAGGGAGACCGCAGAACATGTCACCCCTGAAGGAAAGTTACACAGAAGTGGGGCTGTAGGTGTCAGAGGGCAGCTATGCCAGATTACCTTTTAGATCCCTCCAGCCTACCAACCTTGAGGTTCTTACGAATGTCGCAGTAATCTCTATTCTCAGAACTACCATCCCTCTTCCTTACCACCCCGCCAGGCCCCAGAATCCTTTCTTGCTGTAAAAAGGCCATTCCTTAGAAAGTTAAACATAGAATTACCATATGATCCAGCAATTCCACTTCTGGGTATATACTCAAAAGAATCGAAAGTAGGATCTCAAATAGATACTTGTACAGTGATGCTGAAAGCAGTGCTACCCACAGTAGTCAAAAGATGAAAGCAACTCCAGTGTCCCACAATGGATTAATTGATAATGAAATGTGATGTATCCATGTAATAGAATATTATACAACTTTAAACAGAGATGAGATTCTGAGACGTGCTGCAACATGAGTAAACATTGAGGATGTTATGAAGTAAAACATGCCTGTCACAAAAGTGTGATTATATTTATATGAGGTACCTGAGGTAGTCAAATTACTAGAGACAGGAAGTAGAATAGTGGTTCCCAGGGGCTGCCAGGAAAGTGGGATGGGGAGTTGTTTAGTGGGTAGAAAGTTTCCATTTGGGAAGATGAAAAAGCTCTGGAAATGGATAGTGGTGAGGTTTGCACAAGAATGTGAATGTACTTAATGACATTGAACTGTACACTTAAAAATCGTTACGTTGTGGCCAGGTATGGTGGCTTATGCCTATAATTCCAGCCTTTTGGGAGGACAAGGCGGCTGTATCACCTGAGGTCAGGAGTTCGAGACCAGCCTGACCAATATGGTGAAACCCCATCTCTACTAAAAAGACAAAAATTAGCTGGGCATGGTGGTGTGCAGGTGGGCGTGGAGGCTGAGGGAGGAGAATTGGTTGAACCCGGGAGGCGAAGGTTGCAGTGAGCCGAGATCGCACCACTGCACTCCAGCCTGGGCAGCAGAATGAGACTTCATCTCAAAAAATAATAGGAATAAATAACAAATAAATAGACAATGGGGAAAAACAAATATTTCAGTAAATAGCTGAATAAGGTCTCAGAGCTGTTGCCCTTCTAATGACTGTTAGGCACACTGGGAAATAACTCAAATTTCAGAGCTCAGCCGTCCCCTGTCCTAGGGCTGGGTCCCCTAGGGTAAGGTTGTGGTCTGGGTATACACCTTGAATGCTGAGTAATACGGAGCTTTCTGAGCCTCCCGTGGGAACTCAGAACACACCATATGGCATGAATATTTTCTCTCCTGGAGAAGACAACTGAGCCCTGGGACTCTTGTCTGCTGACCCAGACTGTAACAGAGTCTGACAACTCACAGAGGTCTTCTTTTGTCCTCAAACTCAGGGGACTTCAGAGCCAGCTGCCTTCATGTGGGTGTGTGGTGCACAGCTCAGGGAAGGTTGAGTTACAGGTGCTGCAGGGAGGGTGAGGCCTCCTTTCTGGGCCAAGTGTGGGCTGGGTAGTTGGTGAGGGTGAAAATGGGTTGACTGGGAGAGGGACTCATAGCAGTGCCCCTGTCTGAAAGGGGGCAAGGTCTCTCGGAAGACCCACAATCACTGAAACCTAAACGCCTTGAGAAATCCTCTGCATTGCTCATGGCTAACATTCAGTATACCAATAGTTGTGTTAGGCCCTTTGAATGATAAACACCACATTCTGGATGAGGATGATCTCTGGGAAGAGGCCATGAGAGAAACATGTCAATGAAGGTTCATCTCCATCCATAATGTTGTCATTTTTAATAAAAGTCTTATTTTGGGATAATTTTGAATTTACAGAAAAATTGCAAATGTAGTCCAAAGAGTTCCCAGATACCCCTTTGCCCAGTTCCCCCCAGTGTTGACATCTTACAAAACTATGGTACGGAAATGAACATAACTCAGAAATGAACACTGGTACAACTAAACATTAGATTTTATTCAGATTTCACCAGTTTTTCCACAAATGCCCTTTTTTCATTTCAGGATCCAACCCAGGACCCCACATTACGTTTAGCACAGCCATATTGTTGTGTATGTCACAAAAGTCGGAAGAAACGGTGGCAAAATATTAAGATATGATGAAACTTTCTGGCTAGAACGGAAACTTGATTATGTTGCTTTCTGGTCATTATTGGAAAGAACTTGTAGTGCTTATGAGGGCGGCTCTGGAGACAAGACAAGCTATCCAGCTTCAAATTCCGGCTCAAGCATTATCTAGCTGTGTGCTTAATCTCTCTGAGCCTAAATTTCCTCAACTCAAAACTAGGGATGATAACAGTATGTATCTCTTCGGCTTACTCTGAGGTTTACGCAGATTAAGACACACAAAGCAACTAGAATAGTGCTCAAGAAATGTTAGTTATTACTATTAATTACATATGTAATTCACAATACAATTTTTTAAATAAAAAGACCTCCTAGGTTTACATGGATTGTCATACAAAGCAACCAGAATCGTGCTCAAAACACATTAGCTATTATTATTTATTGCATATGTAATTCACAATACAATTTTTTAAATAAAAATAGCTCCTTTGAGAGTCTCTGGAGCCCATCTTAATAAGACATCACAGTCTTCATTGCATAGCTATTCCGCATTATAAAACTTGCTACAGCCAGGCGCGGTGACTCACACCTGTAATCCTAGCACTTTGGGAGGTCAATGCAGGCAGATCACCTGAGGTCAAGAGTTCGAGACCAGCCTGACCAACATGGAGAAACCCTGTCTCATATCTAGTAAACACACAAAATTAGCCAGGCATGCAGTGCATGACAGGCATGCATGATTACAGAATCCCAGCTATTCCAGAGGCTGAGGCAGGAGAATCGCTTGAACCTGGAAGGCAGAGGTTGCAGTGAGCCAAGATCCTGCAATTGCACTTCAGCCTGGGCAACAAGAGCAAAACTGTCTCAAAAAAAAAAAAGAAAAAGAAAAAAAAAAAACTTGGTACATTGTATTGTAACTATTTGTTTCTCTGTCTGTCCCCAACAATGAACTCCACTTTGCACAGCAAGGCACATACAGGAGGAAAGCGTGTTCAGTATCAAAAAAGAAAGGAAAAAAGGAAAACATGGAGAGTGAGTAGGTAGCTCATCCAGATGCTCTAATGGGGGGCTGAGGGCCAGATGGGGCACTGCATTTGTTGAGATTAAGGGAGCTGCATTTTTCGGCACAAAGATTTAATAGGGATGAGAAGATGAAATAACAGTATAGAGAGCTATAAGCACTGAGCAGAGGGGCAGAGGGTGAGTGGGTCTAGAGGCAAAGAAAACGCTCTCTGTCCTTAAGAGAGTGCATGGTACAGGAGCCTGGAAGAACTTTTCTTCTCTGGGCTGAACTGAACATTTCACTGAACTCAACTGGGACCAATGGCTGCAGTCAGGTTTTATCCTAGATGCTGAGTACCAAGCAACCCCTCCCACACTTCACCTTTTATTCATTCATTCATTCATTCTTTTATTGAGATGGAGTCTCACTCTGTCACCCAGGCTGGAGTGCAGTAGCGTGATCTTGGCTCACTGCAACCTCCGCCTCCGGGGTTCAGGTGATTCTCCTGCCTCAGCCTCCTGAGTAGCTGGGATTACAGCTGCGTACCACTATGCCCAGCTAATTTTTGAATCTTTAGTAGAGATGGGGTTTCACCATGCTGGCCAGGCTGTTCTCAAATTCCGGATACCACGTGACCCACCTGCCTTGGCCTCCTAAAGTGCTGGGATTATAGGCCTGAGCCACAATGCCCAACATTTTCGTTATTTTTTTGAGACAAGGTCTCACTCTGTTGCCCAGGCTGGAGTGCAGTGTTGTGCCATCACGGCTCGATGTAGCTTTGACCTCCCCAGGCTCAGGTGATTCTCCCACCTCAGTCTCCTAAGTAGCTGGAACTGCAGGCATGGGCTACCATGCCCGGCTAACTTTTGTATTTTTTTTTTTGTAAAGATGCGG